AAGTGATTAACTTTATAATTACTTTAATAAGAGATTATATTATAATAAGAAGATCTATATTCTTAAGTCTCTATAAGATATAGTTCTTAAGAGATATTATAATAGTTTATTAGCGAGTTATTTCGATATTAAAAAAACTTAAGTATTAATTTAATATAAGTATTTCTAATTAAAACTTACTATTAATATAAAAGAATATATTATATTATATTCTATATACGCTATAATTAAATTATTTAGATATAAGCTATATAATAAGTTAATTTTCTTATTAATCTCTAACTTATAAGTAAAAAAATATCTCTCTTAACTTTATTACTAGATTATCGCCTTTTAAAAAATAACGCGATTACTCTTATAATACGTAATTCTTATAATTATAAATTATCTTATAAAGATAATATATTATATTTTTATAGAATAAGACGCTTAATATTAAATAGTTTATATAGATTCTAATTAAAATTTTAATATAATATTATAAATTATTTAACTTAATAGTAACGGATTATAACTCGCTATTTATCTCTTAATTCTAATCTAATATAACGTATTTTCTAAAAATAAAATAAAGTTTATTAATTATATATTACTCTTAGATTAATAATTAGATTAAGAGATAAAATAGTATTATAAAATAATACTTATAAGTCTTTATTTATTAAGAGTAGAATAATTAAATATAATAATTATCGATAGTTAAATTTGTATATAATAACGCGAAGAACTTTACTATTAATATATTATTTTTGAGAACTAATATTAGTTATAGTCTAAGAATATTATAGAATAAAGAGATTAATTTTAAATCTTATTTTAAAGCTATAGTCGAGAATACTAAATATCTCTTTATTTTAATAAATATTTATAAGAAGATAATTCTAATAGTCTAGTAATCGTAAGTCAAATATGCTAATAAGTATTAAAAGTCTTATAATTATAAGATCGATAACTCGATATAATTAAATATTAAATATATTAAAACTAAGCGTAATCTTAAATTAAAGTATAAAAACTTTAATTTCTTTTTTATTATTAACGTAACTAGTTTATAATTATATCGCTTATAATTATTAGAACGCTAATATATTTATAATATCTTTTATATATTCTTATTAGAAAAGAATCTTTTTAAAAAAAGAGAAAATAAACTCGAGATTAAAAGATATAGAATTTAACGAAGATAATATATCTAAATATATTATTACTAATATCATAAATAGCGTAATTTTTAAATTAAATAAGAATAATAAGATAGAAGATTTATATTATTAAGTTTATTAAAAAGAATATCTTAACTCGAAGAATACGTAGAAACTCTTCGAAGAGATCTCTTATCTATGAAAGCTATTAAGTAAGTTTTATTAGAAATATTCTAATAAGTCTATAGTAGAATTAATAGTGATCAAAAGAAGATTATAGTAACGTATTTTAAAGAAATCTATATTAAAGAATAAGAGTAAAGAAAAGTGTTAATCTTCGTTATAATGCTATAAATAATAATACTCTTTTATTCTATTTTCTATCTTACGCGAAGATTTTATAATTTTAATAAGACTATCTAGATATTATATATAATAAAAGAATAGAAGTTTAATATTAAGAACTTTCAAAGCGTCTAATTAATAATATTACTATTATTATTTAATCTATATAATTCTTCTTTCTCGAATATAAAATCTTATAGAGACTTAACTTAAAAAAAGGAGAATAACTATAAAGCTATAAGAGCTAAAAGAAATCTAAAAAATTTAAATAATTTAAAAAAAGAAATAATTATAAAGACTATAAGAGCTTAAAGAGTTTAAATCAAATATAGTTTAAAGCTATATTAGATTTAAGAGAATTATCTCTCTAATATAATTATATAATAGTAGATTAGATATATATAATAAAAGATATTAATAATAGAAATTTTTTAATCTCTCTTATTAATATATTATCTAAGAGATATTTTTACTAAGTTCTCTAGAATTCAGTCTATCTTATATAGTAATAATTTAGTACGAGTAAAGAACTTTCGATATAGATTTCTATATATATTAATAAATTTAAGTTAATAAAATAATCTTACAGAAAGAAATAGATGAATTTTTAATAAGCGATATTTAAATTTCTTATCTTTAAATAATTATAAGATTAAATTCTATTATTTTAAATTATTAAAATACGTAATTTATACTCTATAATTTTTTAAAAAAAAGATTTTATATAAGAGTAAAAGTACTTAGAGCGAATTAATAGATCTCGCTTATATTATTTATTAAACTATAAGCTACGTAGTTAGAGCGAGTATTTAATATATCTAATAAAAGTCTTAAATACTCGCGAGTTTTTTTTCTCTTCTTCTTTTTTAGTTATTAATTTATCTAGTAATCTATCTATTTACTCTTATAACTACGTCTCTAAATCTTATAATTATCTAGCTATTATATAGTTTTATTAAAAAGAAATCTTACTATCTTATAATTTAATAGAAAATAAAAAGTTATTTTAAATTTAAATAATATATATCTATTTTTTTAATTAAAGCTATTAAGAAAACTTTAATAAGTAATATTTAAAGTTCTTACTTTTAGATAATTATAAGATTTAATTTTTAAATTTTTAAATTATTAAAATACGTAAATTATACTTTATAATTAAAAAAAAAATTAGAAAATTTTAATAGAGAAAAGTAATTTTATATTAAAGTAGTTTAAAAGAAAATAATTTTAATAATTACGAACGTTAATTTATTTACTCGCGATATTTAATTAAAGAATATAACGAATTTAACTTTATAATTAATTAATATATATAAAAGAATAAGATAGAGCTAAGCTTAAAAATCTTAAATTTATATATATAATTAATTATAAATTTAGAGTTACTACGCTCTTTAATTAAATCGAGTAAGTTATCGCGAATAAATAAATTAGCGTTCGTAATTATTAAAATATATATATATATTATTAAACTTTAAAATAACTTTTTCATTTTCTATTAAAATTTTAAGATTTTAAATTTTCAATTTTAGAGCGTAGTCTACGCTTTTCGAATTTTTCAGAATTTTTGAAATTTGATCTTATAATTATTAAAGCGTAAGGAATTTAAATATCGCTTATTAGAGTTCGCTCGATAGTCGAATAGCCTTAATTAAAAAATAGATATACATTATTTGATTTTAGAATAACTTATTTGTTTTCTTATTAAAATTTTAAGATTTTTTTTTAAATTATAGAATCAAATATAGACTTTTAGAAAAAAAATATTAAATTTAATCTTATAGTTATTAAAGCGTAAGGAATTTAAATATCGCTTATTAAAGTTCGCTTATTAAAGATCGCTTATCTATTTACTCGATAGCTTTAATTAAAAAAAAATTAAAAATTTAATTTATAAACCTTTACTCGTTATATATATAAGTTTAAAATTTTTAACTTAGCTTTATTTTATTAATATATATAAAAGAATAAAATAAAGCTAAATTAGAAAATCTTTAATTTATATATATACTTAATTATAAACTTAATAAATCTACGATTTTTAATTAGATATCGCGAATAAATAAATTAACGCTTATAATTATTAAAATCTCTTTTTTTACTTTTAATTCTTTAATAACTTTACTATCTTCTATGAAAAAATTTTAATTTTTCTTTTAAATTATAGAGACTAAATTACGCGTTTTAGTAATTTTAAAATTTAATCTTATAATTATTTATAGATAAGTAATTTAAGTATTTCTTATTAAAGTTTATTCGATATTTAAGCTTTCTTATAATATAAGAGTATTAAATCTTAATTTTATAAATTTAAAAAAGTCTTATATTAAATTATTTTTACTCTTTAAAACTTAAATTTAATCTTAAATCTAGATTTTAAAATTAATTACTTCTTATAAATTTAATTTATAAATTTTTAAACTTATAATAATATAAAAAATTAAAATAATTAAATAATAGAATATAGATTAGAGTTTTTAAAGCTTTAAGAATCTTATAAATCGTAATTATATTAAGAATATTATATATTAATATAATAAAATCTACTTAAATTCTATAAGCTCTACGTCGTATAATAAGACGAGAATAAGTTTAAAATAAGTTTTCGAAAGAGTATCTCTTTAAATCTACTCTCGAATTTATTAAATTTAAGATTATATATTATTAGATAGCGAATATTATTAAATATTAATATATATAAAAGAATAAGATAGAGCTAAATTAGAAAATCTTAAATTTATATATATAGTTAATTATAAATTCGAGGTTATTACGCCTTTTAACTAGATCGATTAAATTATCGCGAGTAAATAAATTAGCGTCCGCAATTATTAAAATCATTATTTCTTTTAAACTCTCTTATTAAAAAAATAAGTGTATATTATTAATATATAGAATAACTTTTTTATTTTCTATTAAATCTTAAATTTTTTTTTTAAATTATAGAATAAAATATAGACTTTTAGATAAAAAAAGAATTTCTAAATTTAGTCTTATAATTATTAAAGCGTAAGGAATTCAAATATCGCTTATCAAAGTTCGCTTACTAAAGACCGCTTATTAAATTTACTCGATAGCCCTAATAATAAAAAATGATTATAAATTTAATTTATAGGCCTTTACTCGTATACGAGTAATATTTTAAAAAATATTAATAATTTATCTTAATACGTTTAAATTTTCTAAAATCATATAAATCTTGCGATTAAAAAAGTTAGGATAATTCTATAAGTAACCCTAAGGATATAAAATACGTATTCACTTAATTAGTATTGGAAGAGTTTTTTGCAGCGAATAGTGCACTCTCCCCTTTTCACTGGAAGTGCTCCAAGCTGTGTTCCAGGTCAAGTACTTTGGGGCTTCTTTACCCTCATCACTTTCACGAAGACATGGTGGCTGACGGCGAGTTAGGACATGGCTTCATGCTGTAACAATAAATGAAAAAAAAGATCCAAAAGGCTAGGAAAGTTGAAACAATCCCCACAGTGCCATCAATTTGCATTCAAGATAGGATCACTTTCGCGCTGGCAACCCTGCGACTTCTGCTACACCAGTATGCATCCCAGACTCTTCGTCACTTAATGCTGGGTTAGGCTTGTCCTCCACCGCGGGCCTTTTCCGGGTTCTAATTGTACATTTCGTCCAGAAGATGAAGTCGGCCTCATGCCAGGAACCCTGGAAGGCAAGCCCAGGATGAAAAGTAGACACTGCTGTGCATGCGATAATGACCATAGGACCCTCGAGAATCATGAATGGAATCTCCTCGTTGAACAATTTGCCGTTGAACCCGCCGCTGAGTTCTGCGACTCGAAAGACGCTTCGGATGAAGATGGTAAGGACAGCGAGACCGAGGCCTGCGCTTATTAGTCTCCTGTATCTTGGGAAAAGCCACGGAATGCTCCACACCACATAAAAAATACTTGAACAAGCGTGATTCAACGAGGCTTGTGAGTTTCGGATTGCGGGCTGCCTTATTCTTTCTCAACCTCCACGCAAACTCCCCGCAACAGGCTGCGAAGAGTAGCAATGAGACTACCTGGAAAACGAGACCAGCAACCATGATATTCTTGCCGAGATTCTTCCCCGAAGTCGAATTAGCGGTTGCTGCGATGCCACCCCCTAAGCCTTGCAGTACAAGACTGAGAAGATCACAACTGCAGAAGATGAGGGTATACGTCCGAGGTCTTATCCATGAGAGATGAGCGCCATAAACAGTCACTATGCGTGCCAAGCAGAGGTAGATGGCGGCTGTCAGAAGAGCTGGTGCTATAGTTACGCAGATGAGGTAGATGAGGAAGGCGTTGTTGTCGAAGGGATTGACATGAACGAGGACGCGTCCCACATATCCAATGACTTCGAGTGCCTTGTCGACCAATCAGCTATCTTCTTCGGCTGTGTTGAAAAGGCTAATGTGCATACCAAGCCCAAAAGCATGGCACCCATGAAGCCCCATACCTGATAGCGAATACCAAGTCCGAGCTGCACGAAGAATAAAATGGCAAAGATCGCTAAGTATAGAGCATTTGCAGCAAGATTCGGGATGTAGGAGAAACTTGCTAAAGACAGATCACACGTCTGCAGTGTGCATAGGTTGGGATCCAAGATGAGGGTCTGATTGCCGCTAGTGGAGGTCGTGAGGTTTGACATAGTGTCCTGCTAAATGGAAGTTTTGACTCTAGAAAGGCACTACTCGCAATTATCCAAGTCTACCCCCCCTTCAAGGAGGTATTCTAAGGGAGAGTCTTCTATTTATCTTCAACGTATGCGAACTCCGGGTACATTTGCGAGCCCCGGGGTTGAGTGCGAACATCGCTGCGGCGAGCGCAATGCGCATCAACACCCGAAATATCGGCCACGCTCTCTACTACCAATCTGCGCGCTTGCGATGTGCGGACTTTTTGATAAAAGATGCTGCGAAATCGCTGACTTCGCTACGGGAGCTTTCGTGTGGCTTTGGCTTGGAGCCTACCGAAGTCGCCACACGCGCGGCTGTGGACCGCATCTTGACTCGAAAGTTCAAGGAGGCAAAGCCTTCGTTCTACGCTTGTTGAACTTGAGTTGTAAACAAGCAAAATCCTCCATCTGGTTCTCGGAGGGCGGCAGAGTTCAGGGCGGAATAGTAGGGTATGGCTTTCCGACCTTGATCCCCACACTTGTTAACATGTGCCCATATCTCCATGTTGCGCGCCTGGTAGGACCCAGACCCTCTTGCCTCAACTTGGGTTGTCTTTGGTTATGCTCCTAGGGCCAAATCCCTGAGGGGTTCTTCTTCTGGTAAGGACACTGAGCTGGGCTCTATCCAAGGGTTCTGCATTACTGCCGTGACATAGAAGATGTTCGGATCTTCGAACAGATAACATTCTGCAGTAGTGTTAGTTCAAAAGATGCATATCATTAATTCATTCCACGTTTCCTTGTTTTGACGCACCGTTACCAGCCAATCTTACGTACAACATCATCAATTTGGTCACGCTCATACTAGATAAGAGCACCACATGAGAACCTGATATCCAATCCAGTCTGCGCCAGCGACAGCCGTCTGCAGTATCTCAATCCTTTCACCTTCATTTCAAGTCTTACAAATCAAGTAAGGGTCATGCCTTGTTTGTCGCAAGTACTCAACAAGAGGGTGTTTGGCAGCCACGGCATCACATGCTTGCAGTGTACAGCAATGTTTGTCCCTGGCTTCTAAATCAGCATTGCTGGCCATCAGAAGCTCCGCAAAATATTGGAAGCCTGCAGCAGCCGCGGTATGGAGTGGTCGCTGGCACCAATTGTCCTGGGTTTCTGTATCCGCCCCTGCGTCCAGGAGCATCCGCACAGTCCCTAAGTTCCCGCTCTTGCAACTATTGTGGAGGGCTGTTTGCCATTTAGGTTCGTGTAGCGATGTCTACTCTACGGTCTAGGCACTGGCTCACTACGCTCGCCATTCTCTTGCTGGCTGCACAACGACGATGTTGACATCTGTCTTGAGTGCGTTTTTGAGAAACGCTAAGGCAAGCTCCTTAATTTCGCTAGGCTGCGAAAGCTTTGCATGGTGATCCCAATTGCCACAGTGTATTCTAGAAATGGGGAGCATACGAGTAACCATTGATCGAGGCCTGAAACACCATGCTCCGATGACTCGTCAATGCAAAGATACGTGATGAGGACTTGAGTCATGAGTTTTTCCTTGTCACGAACGACTGAGGTCGCCAAGATTGCAATTAATCCTATAAGGTGTAGTGAACAAGTCTGAATGTCGAACTGTCAGCGTCCAGGACGATCAATCCAGAACAGCTCTCGATTATAGATCGTGGCGATAGAAGGCTGTCTTGGTCAAGCACCGTGTCACCAAGTTTCGTAGCCAGTGCGTGACACAGTTTGTCGACTTGGAGAGGCCGACGTGCGTGCGACACCCACAGCAAGGCTTGACAAGCAACTTGCCGACGATTCTGGGGGTCGTTGTCGATCCTTCGGATTTTGTTCTCATAAGCTTGGCAAGATTGGCTGATAAGTCGCTCAACGACGCTTTGATCTCTGTCTTGGTCATGGCTTCTAGTATAGTCTGTATCTGGAGGACCGGCAGTAGGAACGAACAGCCTCGCGAGCGGCGGATCAGGCGAACAGCCTGGAGAATGCCGTCACTTACACCCCATGAGCCCTGCTTGCTATATTTGCCATTACTTGCTGCATCAACTAGCCATTCTTTAACTCTGGGGCACTTTCGCTCTCCCGGATCGTACGAGAGCAGTAGTGCTTGATGTCAGCTCCGCTGGCTTCTAAATCGATTTTCAGCGTATCGTCGAATTTGTGTTTGATGTCGTGGGGATGTGGCTGACTCGTCACGAGACCCTGAGCTCTGGGATGAATGCGGGGATACACTGATATTTTTTGGTCGTGGATATGGAGGCCCTTCTTTTTGAATATGTTCAAGTCTGATGGAAGACACAAAGTCGGCAACCCTGATTGGCATGCCGGATAGGGGGACGGTCCAAACCGAAGACTCCAAAGAGAATCAAACCCCAGGAGTGCAGTACAAGCTGTATATGGGTGCCCATTCTGGAGGATCAAAAGTTGACGTTATGCGCTACCACGTTACGACTAGATATTTTCTAGCCTTTTTGATTCGAAAACCGTTGGTGGGGATCACACTCTACCAGGTACTCGTTGATCTGTACGAGCGTTTGAAGGAGTGTTTGTCATCAAGTATTGATTGTGCGGTTGCACTACAATCGTACCTGAATATGGTTCGTCTTGTGAACGTACCGAATGAGCCTCGGGCTGCGGCAGGTCTTCTGCCTGGGAGTGAAGATGTGAGATGGAACAACGGATGGCGCGAGGCGTAAGTGTATCTCCGAGTCGTTTTTTCTGCTTTGGTTGTTCACATTACAAAGTCGGTCTCGCCATTACTGCGAAACTTGCCAGAAATGGTTCGAGAGCAACACTTTCTTCAACCTTTTATCTTGTAGTAGACGAGAAAAGCTGACTCAAATAGTTTCGTGCACAGCGTTGGCATGTACGAGGAACTCAGTCATCTGCAAGAAAGTGCTGATATCAGCCTACCAACAACAGCGCATCTGGATCGAGCGCATCTCGAGCTTCAAGCACGCATCCATGAAGCTGAAGATCACTTATCCACGTTCTACTTCAATGACGCCCATTTTCCCCAGGAAGACATGTCGCCGACTGTTCGAGCGGCATCTGTTCGGTTTCGCAAAATTCTGCGGCAGATTTACGAGAAGGAGTACCACACATGGCCGATACGGAGAGGGCGGCCGGGCCTGTGGTTGGATGTAATCCTTGTTGGCCGCCTGCAGGAGGATTTCAACGCGTTATATGAGTATAACGTGGACAGAAAAGTGGAATGGAATGGTGATGACGAAAGTGACGACCGAAAGGATAGAGCTCTGCTCAACTCAGTCAATGCCCTAATCTTCGGGCTCGACGGTGAGGATGTTCGAATGTTAGGCGTTTTACGAAATCTCGACTGCAGGCTTAACGCGTCTCACATTCCGCATCCTTATCCCCTCCTTCCATCCTTGGTACCTGCGCCGATCACAGCAAAGGAATCTGTCTTATAGTTCATGCTTATGCGGAGGCCAGCAATGCATCTGAATTGAATCGCGAGCACGCCAAAAACCATTTGTTGGAAACTATTATTTTCTTTTATAAGAATTAAAATATACAGGTTTAAAGATTCAAAAGAAGATTCAAAACAAAAGGGAATAAAGCACCAACACAAATAAATACTTTTATATTAAAAACAGGATTCAAAGAAACCAAGGAATAAGGCCACCATGTCAAGAACACCCTCAGCTCAAGATCCCACACATATGCTCTCTACAATCCCGGGTAAATTACAAATTCATACCCCAAAACCTTGGATCCTTACAAATTCATACCTAATTACATTTCATACCCCTTCACTAAATCTTGGGGTAGAAAATGTAATACTATTCTTGGGGTATGAATTTATAATTTATCAAACTAGGTCTTTGAGTGCCCGGCGTTTAACGCCTCAAAGAAGCCCCGAAGCCTTAAAACCCTTAGAAAATGAACCCTAAATTTATCGCGGATTGAGGTGAGTTAGAGATTTATAATAGTAAGAGCTCGCCTTAGCCTCGGAGCGAGGTTTCGATAAGTTATACGGCGAACCCTAGAGGTCTTCAGTTCGAGGCCCCGGGGCCGGTCGGCTAATTCCGCAGCCCCGAAGACTAACCTCAGCGCACTATAGTAAATTACATTTTCATATCCTAAGGAATGACGAATTACCGATTCATATCTCATTGAAATAGAAAATGTAATTAAGGGTATAATTTGTAAGGATCTAAGGTTTTAGAATATGAATTTGTAATTTACCCCTATAATTCTACGAGGCGAATTACGAATCATACTCTAAAAGTATAAATCCTTATTAAATCATATCTCTAATTACTAAATTATATCCCTATATTAAATTTCACTTAAATATGAAATATGATTTGATAATTTATTATTACTTAGAGTATAATTTAATAAGAGTCTTTTATAATAGCTTTCTAATATAAGAGAGTTTAATAAAGGTAATAGTAGCGGTAAGCTTACTGAGCTTATATTTAGTAGTAGTCGTCGACGTAATATTATTGATAACGGTATTTACACTGCGTAACGGGGCGGATTCGAGGCGGAGTTCGAGGCGAGGGATCGGGGCGGGGTTTGACCCCCGAAGCTTACCCCGCCCCGTTGCGCAGCGTAGTAGGAATTATTCCTTCGGGGGCCTTACGGGGCCCTACGGGACCCGAATAGGGGTGTCTACAGCGTAAAGTGCGGACACCCCCGGGCTCGAAATTTCGCCCACTCGGCTTTCGTCTGATGTTTTTAGGCTGATAGAATTCTCATCAAATGCGATCGGAGAAACTCCCTTATTTCTATGATTAAATAAGTCAGATCGCGGATTATCTCCTTCGTAGTTTAAGGCTACTTTGACAACTTACCAAATCATACCTTAAGCAATGACAAATTACCGAATCATACCCCATATTTGGGTGGATTTTGGTGTAGGGGTATGATTCAGTAATTAGGGGTATGATTCGGTAAGGATCCATACTTTTGGGGTATGATTCGGTAATTTGCCCCAATCCCACGTCAAATTACCACACAGCAAGCGGAGAACGACACTACAATTT